TGGACGTAGGCTTGAGGAGCTTGAACCAGTCCGATCCATTCACTGGAACAAACTGTATCATCAATATGAAAAGTAAAAACATATTTGTGATCATTGGATTAGTTAGTGATGGTGGTGATGGAATTTTACTGTTTAAATTAACAATAGCATAGAGAAATTTTACTGTGCTAATATTAACTTGGGCATTGAATTTTAGGTTCGTCCTTATCTGATAGATCATTCCAAAACGTTTTTAAAAATAAAAATTTTATAAAAACAAATATTTACATAAAAATTTATACAATTTTAAAATTTAAAAAATAAATTAACAATATTTTGATAATAAGTTATGCCGTGTTCATTCATTGTCCTTATTTTTATTGCAACAAATTTTGTAAACATACACTTTTGACAATAAAATTTTTACAGAAAAAGAGGGACTTTATGATATAAAAAAAATAAAAATAAATCCTTTTAATTTACTATTTGAACCAGCTTAAAAGTTACTTTTTAATTTAATAAAAAAAAGACTTTTTTTATTTTTATTTTTGACTTATTAGAAACTCCATTATAAAGTTACACTTAAATGTTTGGTAACACCACCTAAATTTTTGGTATCTTCTTTAGTGTGTGTGTGTGTGTTTTTTTTTTTTTTTTAAATAAAAACATTTTCATGTGATTGAACTCGATAACGTGTGTACATCAGGAAATGAGGATAAAGCTTCTTTGTTTTAAATTTTTTAATCTCTTATTTTGTTTTAACTATTACTCGGTCATCTATCACCACCCTCATTTTCCTCAACCCTCTACAATTGCTGTATCCCTTTTTTCCCGTCCACTGCCACTTCCCTTCCCTAGTCCACTGCTAGCCCTCTTATTCTTTCTCTAGTTCATAGCATCTAGCACCACCAACAAAAATTAGTTATCCAAATTGCCCATGTTTGTTAGTATAATTAACAGATAGTTAAAATTGATATCATTTTAAAAATTGAGAATTTAAATTAAAATAATTAAAATATTAGGATTTGATTTGTTATTTGGGTTCAAACTCATGGGTTTTTTGTTTTATTTATTTATTTATAATTTTCTTTTAAAAATATGTTAAAATAGATGAATAGAAAAAATTAAAGACAAAATACAATGTCAGAAAGGGGTGATTGGAGGGAGATGTTGTAAATGTAGCTCGATACTAATGTGGGAAGTTGCAGTGGTAACTAACCCCAAGTTACAATAATGTTATAATAATTATATTAATACTTATTTATTGAAGAATCTAAGCCTCTCATCATATTCTAGAGAATTCGATCTTCGAATTTTCCAACTCCTTTCTTGAACCCTCTCCTACATATAGTAACAACAAAGCTTTGGAAAGCCCTCAATAAATGTCTCTCTATTTTGATGATAGTGTGTCCCAGATCCCTCTCAAATTGCACCCCCACGAGGGTGGTCCATAACCATAATATGGGTCCTCAGCCCTTTGGTGGTTGGTAGACTAAAAAGCATCCTATATTAGGCTTGGGATTTGGGGACCAAATATTTGATGAATCTAATGTCTGTTGTAGGCTATCACTGCTAAAATAAATAATTCTCACATGCAAAGAGGATAGAGATAATGGGCACAGTAGTCCGAAAGATTTGGGCCTAAGATTTTGTCGCTTTTAAGATTTCGTTTCGGAACTTACTATTTTAATAATTTTTTAATTTTTTATAAAAAAAATATGTAGAGAAATAGAGAGAGTGATGTGATAATTTATAGTAATTTTTTTTTAACTTTTTAGCTAAAATATTTAGTAGGTGTTTGGGATTACTTAAAAAATACAAAAAGTCAAAAAGTCACTATAAAAGTAAAAAAGTTTATATTATTCACAATTTTTTGGCAGGAAAACTGGGGCTAATTAGTCAGAAGGTAAAAAGACAAAATTACTCTTACTTGTCCCATTCCAGCTCACGTGTGGAAAAAAAAAAAAAAATTCAGTGTCCAACACAGCACAACACAGTGCAGCACAGTGCACTGACTATAAGTATCGTCACTGACATGCGCACTGACTATAAGTACCCTCACAGTAGGGTAGTTCGGTAAATTTAGTATTTTCTATAATATTTTATTACATATTCTTTCGTAAAAAGTCAAAAAGTTATCCCAAATAATTATTATTTTTTCATCTGACAAAAAATCAAAAGTGTACTTATATAGTTCACCCCAAACAATCCTTAGGCCCCAAACGAGGCTTAAGTAGGGTTGTAAATAAATTGAATTTTTTGTGAACTCGGTTCGAGGGTTCACTTTGACTTAGTTCGTTAAAAAAATAAATAAGTTTAAATCATATTTTGATGCATTTAATTAATGAGTGGAGAGTTTGAACTTCAATAAACTCGACTCGTTTATTACTTATTTAAATGATAGAATAAATATATTATTGATATATTTAAATAATATAAAAATTAGTATAAAGAAAAATTATTGTCAAGCTTTGAGCCAAGCTCGAATTGGATTTCGAGCTCAAGTACTACAAAGTCTATTATAACAGGTGTATATAACAATAGTTTCAATGATTGATTTATTTTAATTATAAGGACGTGGTTAATGAAATATATTGATGAGACGTACAAATCATTGTTGTAAAAAATAATTTATTAATTTATTTTTTTCATTTTTACCTTTATATTTTTTCTATTTATACTTTCTTTATTTATTCTTACACACTACTATCAATCGCTGTTGTTACCACACTGACTATAAGTACCCTCACAGTAGGGTAGTTCGGTAAATTTAGTATTTTATATAATATTTTATTACATATTGTTTCGTAAAAAGTCAAAAAGTTATCCCAAACAATTATTATTTTTTCATCTGACAAAAAATCAAAAAATGCACTTATATAGTTCACCCCAAACAATCTTTAGGCCCCAAACGAGGCCTAAGTAGGGTTGTAAATAAATTGAATTTTTTGTGAACTCGGTTCGAGGGTTCACTTCGACTTAGTTCGTTAAAAAAATAAATAAGTTTAAATCATATTTTGATGCATTTAATTAATGAGTTGAGAGTTTGAACTTCAATAAACTCGACTCGTTTATTACTTATTTAAATGATAGAATAAATATATTATTGATATATTTAAATAATATAAAAATTAGTATAAAGAAAAATTATTGTCAAGCTTTGAGCCAAGCTCGAATTGGATTTCGAGCTCAAGTACTACAAAGTCTATTATAACAGGTGTATATAACAATAGTTTCAATGATTGATTTATTTTAATTATAAGGACGTGGTTAATGAAATATATTGATGAGACGTACAAATCATTGTTGTAAAAAATAATTTATTAATTTATTTTTTTCATTTTTACCTTTATATTTTTTCTATTTATACTTTCTTTATTTATTCTTACACACTACTATCAATCGCTGTTGTTACCAACTGCAGCTGACAACTTCCTGGAAAAGTTGTCGACTGATGGTGGTAGGCAGCAATGATGGACAAGCAGACAAGTGAAACAGATAGATAAATAAATAAATAGAGATAATATGATTTTTTAAATTATTGGTGTCTTTGCCAAACAACTCCATTTTCAATTTTAAAAGGCTTTGACAATGCTTTAACCAGTCAAGATCTCCCCTCCCCTGGTGCTTCTCTCTCTAAAATAATCTTTCTTTGTTTCCCATATGTTTTTCCCAGATTGCTTCCCACGTTGTTGGTCCTCATTGTTTGTCGATGTCACACAGCGGAGCAATTTTTGCACAGAAAAGGCATTGTCGAGATACCAACTTCTTCGGCATGCAATAACTTTTTTATACTGCCACACCAAAATTTTGATGGCACTACACGGATCGAGATCCCCTTCATTATATGGTTGTGAAAAAATCACGTCAATTGTTAAAATGAATATTTTTTTAAAAAAATTTAAATTAAAAATAAATTCCTATGACTTCAATGATGTAATAGTTAGTGACATCTAAATCCTTGAGTTATTCCACCAGCAATGGCATGGACTATGCACAGCGAACAATTATGTGCTACCCGTGTGCAGCATGCCACACACAAGATTGTCGCAGTTTATTGGTGTGGTTCCGTAATGCTCGACTAGGATCCTCTGCCACACACAACACCGAATAATTTTTGATACACAACACAATGTGAGGAACATATCAGAAGGCAAATATCAAACCCTTATCTTCACATATTTTCTTTCCCTTCTATTTATCTACCAAGTATTCTGTGGAGGGCAGTCGCTGTTCTCAGATATTCCTCCGATTTTCTACAAAGATTTCCACATTTTCATCCTGCTCACAAGATCTTCGTAGGCACATTTTTTACCACTGTATATCACAGAGCTAATTGACAGAATGACTCAAAGGTAATTGGGAAAGAAGGTTAAATTTTTTAGCACATTGTTGAATATCAAACTAGGTATTCTTGTTGAGATTTTCTATCAATGTAATATAATATTGCATGATCTGAAAAGCAAGTACTTGTGTGGTTGGTCTTTGGGAATAATTTTCTGGGTGGAGTTCTTGATCAAGTAAAAGGCATGGACTTGAAATGGTCTTTGCATGGCAGCTTGTGTAATAATTATGCTTTGGTGGATGCAGTATTCGGCTTGGAGAAGTTCTGGAAAATACATCATTGATGGTAATATACATATATGTGTGTCTGTGTGTATGATGAGTTAGTCAAGTAGTACACTTGAGGTGGATTACAGTGAGGGTTTGTGAGTGTAACTTTGTGGGGGTGAGGTTGAGAGCAATAATATTGTGTGGCGAGGGAAAATATCAAGGAGTTGTATTCTTATTATTTAATGGATTGCTTCTCACTCACCGTGGACGTAGATATTTTTGTCGAACCACGTAAATCTTATGTTACTATTTTCTTGTAACAACTTTATTTTATTTCCTTCCATTGCTAGGGTGAGATTTATTCCCAACACTTTCTCGATAATATAGTATATGAAGTTTGTTGCAACCCTTAACAGATACTGGAAAACACGCGAGAAATCCACCAGTAGCGTGACAACATCAAGCAATGATACATGAGAGCGCATACTGGAAAGTTTTATTAGAACAAAATGACATAATCAACCAATACAAATGATAAATATTCTATGATAGAGGATAAAAGCAAAGCTTTTCTCAATGTCACAAGAAGGAAATCGACGTTTTATGATAAATAGGAACTGAAGAGAAGAGAACAGAGTACCAACGCCATCAAGTTCAACCCAATATCTTAATTCTTCACAGTTGTCACATGCCTCAGAAGCATGTGCGCAATGTCATGAGAAATTCTAGCAGCCTCTGTGTTCAAGTGATGGATCTTCGCCTCTGTTTCTTGTTCGAGACGCTTCACATTAGCACCTGAGTCTCCACTACTCTGTTATGAAATGAATAGTGCCTAATTTTAGTGTTTAAACAACTCACAAAAAAAAAAAGAAAAAAAAAAAAAAAAAAAAAAAAAATCTGTGGAAGAATAGAGTTAATTTAGAGAATCAGAGTATTCAATTATCACATTAACAACCATATGGAAAAGAGTTTGGATGATATATGTTCGTAAAAAGCCACATACAATGAGGGAATTCGGAACCTCCAATAGCATGGGCGGACTTGGGTAACAACCCAGTGAATTCATGAAATAGAGTCAGAAGTAAAACCACAAACTTGCCAACAAAATGAACTTGGCATAGAACCTATATGAATGGAATTTCACTAATTTATTTCTTTTCTTATAAATAGTTTTTACCTCTGCAACCTTTCTTTGAAACTCAGCTTCCATTTGAGCACGGAATTCAGCAATCTCCTTTTCAGCGTCCTCTTTGGCCTGTTTTAGTCTAGCCATTTTAGCTGAAAACACAAACGAATGTGCATATAAATGTGTACCAGGCACTCAAGCATTAATGACTTTACATGAGAGAGAGAGAGAGAAGCCGTATGATTATATTTTCAATTTTTAGCTTGAGAAATTCAGTTTCATTGGAATATCTTTATAACTAAAAGCATAAATCTATCAGTATTATTGTGGATGTGTTCATCAATACATTTGTGGCAATTTGACCTTTGGTATGCACAAAAGTGTTAGGTTTTTGTAATTGGCAATCTCGTTTGACAAAACTTCTTTTAGTTATAATTTTATTCGCTCTTTTATTTCAGTGAAGCTGTGAGTGCTTAGGTGCGAATCCAACTCAAATTGAGCCTATGTAGAGGCGTTTGTGATCTTAATCCTTTTATGTTTGCCACTAAAATGCAATCGAAGTTGTGTAAGCGCTCGAGTGGTCATTTGTGCGCTCGAGTGAAGAAAAAGATCATCGAATACTTTTGCAGAGCATCTAAACTTCTGGAAAGAAAGTTTTACTGCTCAAGCGGTGAAAGTTGTGCTCGAACAATCAGCCTATCTTTTTCGCACCGCCTTTAGTCACATCGCTCGAGCGGTAAAATGTGAGCTCGAGTGGTCTGCCTGATTCAGTTTACTATAAAGTGCGCAATTTGCATTTTTTAGGGTTTGAGCCGTCCATATTTTCAGAGAAAGAAAAAACAAAGGATCCGTTTGGTTTAGTTTTAGCATTATGATTTAAGTGTGGAGTTGTGTTTTGAGTTTTGAGTTTTGAGTTTTGAGTTTTTGAATCATGAAAAAGAAAATTTGTTTGATTATGAGTTTTGAAAATAGTTTTGAGATGATTTGTACTTTTTTATTTATTGATTGATTGATGTATAGAATATGTGAGAATGTGAGGAGAGAGAAGAGATGAGAAAGAAAAAGTGAGTGATTGATTAATAATAATATTAAAAAAAAAAAGAGAAGAAAGGAGTTTTGAAAATAATTTTGAATTGTATTTTAAAAATTTGTTTGGTTATAAATTTTGATATAAATCATGATTTGAAAACATAATTGAGTTTTGAAAATTAAACCAAACGCTATCAAAGTGTTTTCTATTGGATGGTGTTTCATATGAGTTTCCATGGTGTATAAAAAGTGATTGATTGGTCAACACAGGTGGTCAAACATCAAGGGTTGTTCTTATTCTTTTGTTCACAAAGAGAGAAGCATTCTTCGATGGATTTCAGGGAACTTGGGCTTGAAGTTTTGATCGATTTCAGAGTGGCTCATTGTCGTGGATTCAATATCAGCGTTGTGGATTCAATGTTGGGTAAGACAATTCTAAGGTAAAGATGGTGGTAGAAGAGGCACATTGGGGGTCGGTTCAACTCGGGCGTAGATTCACTAGGCAATTGAGGGTACACTTGTGCAAGTCTTTTGTCTTCTTAGTGGATTATTTTGTGGCTTTCGTCCATGGTTTTTTTTATCACAATTGGGAGCATTCCAATTGTGATTTTTCCACGTTAAATCATTTGTCGATTTGTCTTTAATTGTTTGATTGAGATTGTTATTTACTGTTTAAAATTGATACATAATCATAAATCAATATCTCGGGAGTTTTAGATTTTTCAATTGATATCAGAACAAGTCGCTCAAATTTTTATTTTTTCAAAACTATTGTTGATTTGTGATAATAGATTCAATTCGTCAAGGGAATTCTACAGTTCGACCACTCCTACCACTCCTACTTGACGGATCCAATTATTCTCTTTGAAAAGCTCGGATGAGAGCATTTTTAAAATTTATTGATGGAAAAGTTTGGCAATCCTTCATGTGTGGATGGACTGAACCGACAATTACCATTGATGGAGTAACTTTTCCCAAATCAATTGATAAATACGACACAACTGATTACCAAAATAGTAGCTAAAATCGTAAAGGTATCAATTCTCTTTTTTGTGCTGTCACACCCAAAGAGTTTAGTCGTGCCTGCAATTGTGAAGTCGCAAAAGAGGCTTAGGATATCTTACAAACTATTCATGAGGGCACTCCTTCGGTTAAACGCTAAAAACTTCAAATGCTCACATTTAGTTTTGAAAACCTTTCTATGAAAAATGGTGATACCTTTTGATGTATTTTATGCGAAGTTGAGTGATATCGTGAATTCCAGCTTCAATTTAGGTGAAAAAATACTAGAATCCAAGGTTGTTAGAAATATTTTGAGGTTTTTGCCCAATCGATTTCAACCAAAAGTTACGGTTATTGAGGAGGCTCAAGATGTTGATAACCTCAAGCTGGATCATTTGGTTGGAAATCTCCAAACCTATGAGGCTCATATGAATTTCAAAAAGAAACAAAAAGATGAATTTGCGTTTAGTAGCGCTCATAGTGTTGGAAAGGATTCTGATGAGGATTGTGAGGTTGATTCCAAGATTACGAATGCTTTTGTAAAACATTTTAAGAAGTCTTTTCGAAAAATGAAACCTAATCTTGTGGCATCAACTCACAAATCCAAAGGCAAAGATAAGCTCAAAATTGATTATACAACCAAGAAGAAGAAAGGAAAAATACAAGAGTCACCTCAAAGAGTCCAATGCTATGAATGCCAAGGTTTTAGCCACTTTGCTCAAGAATGCCCTAATCGTTTGAGGAAGAAGAAAGCTTTCACTATCACTTGGGATGATGAATCAGAGTCTGATAAGAATGAAAGTGACAACGAGGCTCAAGGCGAAGAGGGGGATGAACAATTTCTTACTTTCATGGCGGTTTCTAGAGCTGAAGGACGAATGGAGTATCCCAAGAGGCTGGTTGAGATTGTCACTAACGATGAATCCTCGGGGAGCGATGGTGAAGTAGATGGTGAAAAGCTTCAACAAGCTTATGAAAAGTGTACAAGGAATTTGTTTAACTTATCTAAATTGAATGACAAACTCACTATGAAACTCAAAACTTGTGAAAGCAAAAATGTCAAATTAAAGGAGATTTTCGAGGCTAGGAATGATGCCATCAAGATCTCAAATGATTGACAAGCTCTCTGTGCAAAACTCTTGACTTATGAGACAGAGAGGAATGAGCTACAGCAAATCTATGCAACGTATGAAGAACAGATTGAAACTCTCGACATGTCTCAAGCTGCATTAGAAGAGCTAGTCGTCAAGAAAGAGGAAGAGTACAAGTGTGCTATGGCTACCATTGGTCTTTGGAACAAAGGATCAAAGACTTTGAACAATATCATTGGGTCTCAACATATGTGTTATAACAAGAGTAGCATTTGCTTTTGTGGTAACAAAGAGCAAAAATAGAGTGCATCTACATCACATGATACAAGATCTCAAGGAAAAGAAGAGCAAATGACTCAACATGAGAATGGACCTCTCAATCTTCCTAGAGTTGGTAAGGTCAAAGTAAGTGCATGTTTGGCATGTGCTAAAATAGCACATGCTATTTTAGCACATTATTCTATTTGGGTCACAATCATCTTGTTTGGGTCACATCACCTCTCTATCACATCACTTCAAACGCAACCTATATTTTACGTTTTTTTCATAAAAAGTCAAAAAATATACTAATCTAGCACTTCCCAAACAACCCCTAAAGAAGGTACACTCTATTTTTATTTGTCATCATTGTGGAATGTATAGTCATATTTGCCCTTACTGTTATGAGTTGTATGGGAGAGTATCTCATAGTGGAAGAAATTCTAATACCTCGTGGGGTAGGAGACATTTCATTAGTCGTAATAAGGTTAAGGGTCATATTAGACTTCATTGCGTTGATTTGCTTGAGACCAAACATGAAGAGAGATTGTGTTTGCCTAGACCTAGGAATAGGAGGTTAGAAACCAATTTGAGACGGGCTCCAATGAAGGGGAAGGGAACCACAACGTTAACACACCACCCAAGAACCGCAATTCTCACAACTTTGTTTATACTAAAGCGGTTTGGGTAAAAAAGCTTGACTCGGGTTAATTTGTTTATTCATTCTTTTTATTCTCTCTTCATGTTTTGAGTTTTTGAGTCTTTTGTGTTTGTTTATTCGTCTCTTTCTTGCTTTAAACACAAATAAAAAATAAAAAAAAATAAAAAAAATCCTCAGTATGGTTTTGCAAGCTTGAAATTTTTTAGAAGTTCTTAGTGCATCTTGGAATTGATGAGAATATCTGTTACATGTTAATATGTGTGTACTTTCTATGGTCATTACTTATTTCGGAGTGTGTGTACTTTGATTAGTATGTGTGAGAGCCAAAAAATAATATATATCAGCTCAGGGGGCTAACCCAAACAAAGCCCACAATGGGTCCAGCCCAAGTAAATATCATACACCCCCCCTCCTCTATAAAGGGGGATCCCAAGTTAAGGTATGTTCCCTTTTTGGACACAGCACACAAACACTCTTTTATGTTTATACATTCATTCTTTCAATCAAAGGACTAACTAAACCATCGGAGTGTCTCCGGCCGGTAACCCCGGTTGGGTGGCGCCGATCATGTTCATCTTTACAGATCTGCAGGAGTCAAGCTCATCTCTTCGTTGGATCTCACCAACAATCCATGTGAGAGGATGTTTCATGGTCTCACAATTGGCGCCGTCTGTGGGAAACGTCTGAAAGAGGTCAACGAAGGAAATAGCAAACATAGTACTTACAGGCTTGGTTTGGCATCTACTATATAATCCATCTTTTTATCTTTTTTCCATCACATCACTTCTCTACTTTTCTGCACATTTTTTCATAAAAAGACAAAAAGTGCACTTTTTTAAGACACCCCAAACCAACCCTAAAATTCAACAACAATGTGATGGTGATCTATTTTCTCTCTAATTAAATTGGTTCTTGAATCGTATATACGTATATGTCTGCATACAAACTTCGTGGAAACTTTTGTTCATTTGAAATATTGATTGAAAAGTTTTAAAACAAAACAGAATTTATGGGTCTACTCTTATATCTCCATTTTCTCTCTCTAAAAATGGGTTTCACACTTTTATTGGTACGAACATCTTTTCGACAAGTCAATACAGTTGCTCAACTA